TTATCGGCTAAATACCACAATTAATCGTGATTTATTTTTTTTCCAATATTGCCCAACCCTAGTTTCAACTGTAGGAGATTGTCTTGACCATGTCTACATGCCTAAATGCACTGAGTTGCCGCCATGTGATTGGCTGATTAGAAATTAAGTGTTAACGAGCAGTTGGACAGGTGTACCTAATAAAGTGTCCGGTGAGTGTAGTTCACAACTCACCCTTGTTGTTGTTAGCACTCTGTCTCACAACATTAGCTGCTGCGCTCTCCCCGGGGGAAGCAGCGGACACATGCGCTCGCGTGACCCAAAGAACGGATCGGCCGAACGGACAATGTGTATCGGCCGATACCGATACAAGGAAAAAATGCAAATATCGGCCGGCTGATGTATCGGTCGACCCCTACTCACCACGCAACGACTAAAAAATAAATCAACTAAATAAAAGTGACATTAAGCTACCAGCTGTTTTTATGTTTTTGTTTTATTTTTTGACCGTGTTTTGGTTGTTTTGACGTCCGTCACGGTGCCTTCTTGTAGAGAGTGACGTCAGGTACGAGGGGTCAGTCGCGGTGACTCTGCACCTCCTTTTCCTCTCCCTCTTTCTCTCTCCTTCCATTTCTCATTCTGCTGATTAAACTCTCGTAGCTGAGCAGAAACAAAGAGCCCAGTGTAGCAGACACTGCTCTGTTCAGGCTCTAATGAAATTCAAGTCATACAGCCTGATCCAGAACGCTTCGTTCCAGACTGATGAGCAGTTTTTTAAAGAAAAGAGGCGCTCGCAGACACAATGCATTGCTTCTAAGTTTTTGATGATTGGTGTTTTGCCAAAAAGAATTCAAAGAGGTGAAAAAAATGACTTGGAGCTTGTGTTTATTAGGCCTCTGATTGTTTATAATTGTGTGACAGAGATTAATTATAGCCAAGCATCTGATAAAATGTTGGTTCTGTTTATTAAAAGCACAAGAATACTTTTTTTAAATCAGAGGCACGCTCAACACATGCTTTTAAAGTGCCTGTGACATGCCTATCCTTCAAATACAAAAAGTAAAAAAAAAATCTTTATTAAGAAAATTGGCATAAAACACATGATTTTACACATTTTGTCTCATAACTGGCCTATTTTATTTTTTGAACTTGGCTCAGCCAAAGTGAAACAGGAAGTGACATCAAAGGGGAACTCATTAATAAAATAAACTCTCTGGTCTTTGTTTGTTGAAACAATATTATTAAACTTTAACTCGTCTTCATCTTATTAATAGAAACTAAAAATAATCTAAAGAAACATCAGATTCTTCTCCACCGTATCTGTTGTTGGCTGTTGTTGCAACGCTCTGTTTACGTGCAGACATTCCCCTTTGACATCACTTCCTGTTACTTCACATGCAAATATCTCAACAACCGTTCATCTCAGTGGCATGAAATTTGTTTTGCAATATTTTATCGATGTCATCTTTCCAAAAATGCATTCAAGTTTATTACAAAAAAATTCACGTCAGAGGAACTTTAAACTCTAAACATCTGTGAGACTTTGCAGTATTGCTCGATAACAGGGGTGGGCAATCCTGGTCCTGGAGGGCCGCAGCCCTGCATGTTTTGTTTCTCTGCTCCAGCACACCTGATTTGAATGAATACATGATTAACAGGCTTCTGCATTTCGGAGGACCAAAACTGACATAATTAGAAATAAAGAATTACATAAATGAACTATTAAATAAATACACTTAATGGCACCAATTAGAGAACTTATCTCCTGTTTTATATTTTAATTGACTTTCATATTTATTTTTCCAGGTTAGTTTCAATAAATTAGTCTACATATTTTAACACATAATTTAAATT